TTTTTCCCCAGATAATTTTTACATAAATGAAAAACTGTACAAAGTGGGGGAAATCTATCAAAAATTGGTTACCTTTCTTTCTGTTGTCTGGGTTTTATTGACTTATATGAATTTACACTTATATACCATTTCGCAGTGCTTTACAGCCCTCTCTACGCAGTTTACAGAATCAGCATAAGCAATTAATAGGGCTTAATATAAAATACTCAACAATTTCTACTGGATCAGACAGAGACTTGTTCATTTGTAATCCTTTACCTATTACTTGGGACTCATTGAAAATTCAGGGAAACTTTATTTATTTGGAAATACATACAATTGCACTTTCAATCTAGGCCCTTCTTGCCAGCAAAATCTGTTTTTATGAGATACAGGTATTTTTTGCAGCATTGTTACAATATCTATTGCATGAAACACTGTTAACACATTTAGAAAATTACAGCTTGAAACATACTGTAACACATTTAAAGAATTATCACAATGTGGCTTAATGTTAATTATGTGTAAATTCATATAAGTCAATAAAACCCAGACAACAGAAAGAAAGGTAACCAATTTTTGATAGATTTCCCCCACTTTGTACAGTTTTTCATTTATGTAAAAATTATCTGGGGAAAAAAATCCAGTTTTGTACTCATTGGATCTCAAGGTCTGCATGTGGAATGGGAATGCTAATTTCCCTTACTTCATGGGTTTTTAAAACAAAACCTGTTTTTTATATTTTGAGGTTAATCCTAATAGTCTAGAGAACTAAAGGCTATTAGATTCTAGGCCAGCAACTGGATAAGCTAAACTGTTGTTAACATAGGGTACCCTACAACAAACAAGTTACAAAAAGGGCTTAAGTCTTTTCTTTTTAATCACAGTAGATTCACACAACACTGTAAAGCTAACACAAACTGTATATATGGTCCCTGCAAATCAAGTCTTGAGTATTGGGGGAAGAATGGAATATAAAATAAATACAAATGTGTTATTTTAAAAAAATATGTCTTAATTTTAAGACCTTAATAAAACATTCATTTTTCAGTTAGTTTGATGAAAGATAATTTTGAGTTAAAACAAATTTGTTAGCTGGATTTTTTTCCTTAGTCAATGTTTATGATTTCACAGAAACAACTGAGGTAGAAAAATGAGTAAGATTGAATATCTCATTTGAATTTTCTACAAACGCTCACCATGATCAAAACTTTGCTATTACAGGAAATATTTCTGTCAAAACCCATTGAACAACTTATGAATTAGAGCACTGAACATAATTTTGATTCATCAGTTCCATCTGTTGCTTCAGTCCTTCACCTCAATTGGAACAAATTGGATTTCTTACATTAAAATTTACTGTTGCCAAAGCAGGTAGTAGAGTTTCTATGACTAGTTGAGATATGCATTAGGAAAGCATTTCAATATAGAATCTCTCTTTCATCAGAGCATTAATTTAATAAATCATCCTATCGACGAAGATGTTACTTTTTTGAAATATTATAATACAGTGGTTTTTTCAATCTTTCTCTTTTGTTTCTCTTCATGTTCCTGCCCATACTTTGTTGAACAATTGGTATTGCTGAATTAAGCACTTAAAAACATCCCAAAGAATACATTCACAGAACATGCACAGTAAATCCAGATATTATTTTTCCCCAACAGAAGTCATTACTCTTTTATTTACATAGTCACGTTTAAGCAGAAAGGGTTCTGTATCCATACTCAAAAGACTATTATCCTTCTCTTTGTGGAAACTGGTATATTGATTAATCCTCCGATAAGAATCTTTACTCTTCTCCAACAGGTGGGGGTGGCTGACATAGTTTGTACAATCTGCCAATAGAAAGAACAATTATAATAGCTCCTATGACATGAAAAATGTTCAAATATTTTTAAGCACTATGTGCTTCTTTCCATTAACTATACATCGGTTGAGTCTGAAGCAAAATACAGATTGCAAACCAGAATAAAATTACTATTCTTAAAGCATGCATCATTAATTTAATTTTTGTAAGAAAATATTTTTGCACTGATGTAACTACAGTTATATTAGTTACTGTCTGGCTCTTAGTAAGAAGCACATCATTTGTCTTAACAAAAAGGAAATACGTATGTGTTTCAATTCCAAGTGCTGGTCTGTTGCAGGAGTTCTACATCTTTCCCAATAGCCACCACTTCCACAGAGAGCAATTCAAATTTCCCCCCTTTAAGTTCCAGTCACGACAATAACAAATGATAAGCTAGACTAGTCTTTTCTATTTTGTTAATATTGTAATATCAAAATATCACAATATATTTAAGTTATAGAACATTTCTAGGAAGAATATTGTAAGAAAAGGAGTAGCAGAATCTGGGGGCAGTCAAAAGAGGAATCAGCATAGAACTTTACGTAGCCCCAAAGGGACTAAGTCCATCCCTCCCCCCCCCTTGAATTCTATTAATCCTTATCTATCACAAAATAGTGCTAACAGTTATTGAGTAGTTTCCTATGCATAGGCATGATCAATAAATCAGTCTATTTGGAATTGCATGCGGGGTCCTGAACTTTTGCACCTGACCAATGTGGAGAGATTACCCATGTATTCTTGGGATCACTGAAGCAAGTAATATCTATCATTTATTCATTTTTAAAAGACAATGTCTTAGAACCCACAAATAAAGGCAAATGTATGTGTTCTAGGATAATGTTGCAAAATTCAATCTGGCTCGGTCACCAGGATCAGAGGTTTGAATAAACATTTATTAAAAATAAATAAAATTCCCTCAGAACTTTTTTTAAAAAGTACTCTAAAATTTTCCTGAGGATGAGGGTCAGTACGAATCCGAAAGCTTGGAAGACTAAACATCAGTGATCGACCCAATTGGATCTTATCAAACTATATGTTCTAAATTCAAGGTTGATTACGGGGAGCCTATTTATCTTAAAGGTTATCTCTCTGATTGACTGAGGCAAAATATGAATTTTGCTTTGGAAATGGGAAGTCTCCATATATGCAGTTAACTGAAAATAACTTTTTCTGTTTAATTTTTGTTAAACGTAAAACCTAGAATAAATTTCAGATGGGCTTCAGGTGGACAGATTTTGTACCACAAAACCTTTTCAACAATGAAAAAGCAGTTAAATATAGGGAAATTGAATCAACTCTAGTCACTATAAATTTGCTTCAAATCCAAAGAATAAATGAAGCACATGAGTCTCTATATAAAAAGACACAGGTAAATGTCTGGTTCTTCCATGAAAATAATTTACTACAAAATAATTAGCATAAAAAGCATGCTTCCTCTGTTGCTCAGCAAGTAAAATAAATTTAATATACATTAAGATGACTAAAAAATTCACTAAGCAGATATTTCAAAGGAAAACTTTGTTCCATTAAACATCATTATAATTAAGACACTAACTTATGTCTATACAAATACAAATTAATTATTTTAATAAAGTTATTACATTTAAATCTAGACAGAGAAAGGCAGTCTGTAGGCAAAGTTGATTATAAAGATCTCTGTGGGAAAAGAGTATAATTCAATCCTTAAGATTGTCCATTGAAGTTTTATATATGTTAATTCATCACTGCATGAAAATAAATCCTCAGCAATCTAAACCAATAATACTTTTTAAAAAATCAAACAATGCATTCTTGGACAATTTATTGGATCAAGGTAAACACATACCAATAAAATGTAGCAGTAAAACCCTTTGCATGAAATATAAAATCAAAAACTTATGAAATAACTATAATTTTAAACTTATATTCTAAATAAGATATATGAAATGTCATACTATTAAATAAGATCCAAAGTCTACCCAATCCAGCATTGTGTTTGTCTGAGATTCAAGGACCTCATGGGGACCTTATCATTCTCCCTTTCAAGTTCACATGCCACCAATATTCAGAGCATTCCCATAAACTTGATTATTGCCAAAGTCTTTTGATTAAAATGGATTGACCAGGCTGCCTATTTCTAAATGTGTTAGGATATCAGAGTGCTGTAAAACCAAATATGTTGACTTGTTTACAAGTTTACAATGCTTGTAGACATTGGCCATAAGAGTTTTCTTTTCCTGGGTTATAGCCAAATCAATGTTCATTGCCTTGTCAGTAACAAGCGTGTTGTCCTTCTCTGATTAATACCAAAGCACAAAGAAGAACAAAATAACTGATGCTGCTGGCGTGTGCGCTAGTGTCAGTATCAGGTCTCCAAGTAGACTTCACTGACTGACTGCCTCATGCAATGACTGTTTTAGAGTTACAACAATGCTAAAAAAAAAACTGTGACAAAAGCACACATTTATGACCTTTATAGCATCTTTCTCTTTCTCAGTCATTAAAGTCAGCACATGTTTTTATGCCTGTATTGTTTTTTCCCTCCTTTTCTCCCCTTGCAGTGAATAGATTGGAAAGGAAGGAGTTTTATGAGAAGCAGGCATCCAATGGAGAACACTCTGGCTATTTGCCTAGCATGACCACAGTTTCCAGCCCTGAGTGGTAGACAAACAGCTAGACTCAGCACATTTCTTTTGATGCATTTCCCATTGTGTGCCTGCTTACTCTCTTATAATCCCTTCCTCTCCAATTAATATACCGTATATACTCGAGTATAGGCCGACCCGAATATAAGCCGAGGCACCTAATTTTACCACAAAAAACTGGAAAAGTTATTGACTCGAG